CTCTATTCTGATTGAATTTAATGTAAAAATATGGATATGCTACTAGCCAATAACATATTCTAAGGTAAAGGTTTTCCTCGCACATATGTGCTAGTCGTTCCCAACTCTAGGGGGCGGTGCTCATCTCAGTTTCAAAGCCAAAGAGCCAGTGCTGTCCAAAGACGTCTGCGGCTGGCATGACTAAACACCAAAGACTCACGGAACGCTGTTACCTTCCCATCAAAGTGGTCCCTATTTTTCTACTTGCATTTTTTACGTGCTTTCAAACTGCTAGGTTGGCAGAAGCTGGAACAAGTAACGGGACCTCACTCTGTTATGTGGCACTAGGGATTCGAACCACTGAACTGCTGACCTTTCTGATCGACAAGCTCAGCATCTTAACCTCAGAGTCCTACGGGATTGGGCGGCATACAAATCTATTAAATTTCAATTTCAACCACTGAACCACAGCGTCCCAACATATTCTATAAACAACTAAAAAGATGGTTTACAAAATTACCCAATAAAATGCAAAAAACAAGAAAGAGTAATACCAGCAAACAACTCGTTGACCCTGGGACGATTAGCAGCTGATCCTGAAGGTGAAACAGAAGGTGTTTTTAAGGCAATGAAATCCTTTGGGGAAGATTCTGCTTCTAAGAAGTCTTTTTCGTCTGTAAAATTCTCCACTCTTACACGGGTTGAATAACGTTCTAGTTGAACAGAAGAACAGAGTGAAACCAAAGTTAAAAGGAGGATCATATAAAAAGTTATGCGATGTTCAGGATAAAAGCTATGTTCCTATCTTACAGCAAAATACAACAAAGAATTGAGTGCAGATTTATTATGGCACTTGGGTTGATGGGCAGTAAAGGGGTGATAATCCTTTAAAATTCAGGACATGCTTATTGATACCATAGCATCACTTAAAAAACCCCAAGAGATTTCAGTAGCATAACAACTCTTATCAACTGCAGCCATTATGTCAATCAGTCACTTATCTTCCATTGGTAGCTTCCCAAATATTTGTGATCTACAAAAGTGTTATAAGACTTCTGGTTGGAGTTGGAAGACTAAGTAACATTATAACCAGAATTAATCCGTTTCCATAGCAAATTTCCAAGTTCAGTTCCAGTCTGGCTTTGATCTTTAAAATCTTTCCTGGGATTATGACCATTTGTTCAGTTACTGTTCAAAGGCATGATGGTGCTGAACAAATAGTTCTTATGACTGGTCCTGAGAGTTCCATCTGCTGCAACATCCCTACTGTCACTTGATCACAATCAGGTGACTGATTGTAAAAAAGCAGTCACATGATGATGATTTCTGACATTCCCTGCTTATTTCCACAAGCAAAGTCCATAGGGAATCCTGTAGAAAATCATAAATTGCAATCATGTGAATTTAAGAACCCACCTCATCCTTGGGTTATGTTAGGAACCGGTACTGCGTATTAAATTGCCTTTAATAAGCGATGCAGTCAAATGACATTGTGATTTATGACTTGCACTGTTTAGTGACGGAAATCCTGATCCCCATTGTAACCTAAGACCAGAGTTCTCTTCTTCCCTATATAGCTACCAAATCTCCTCTATGTGTTCCTATTATGTAAAGGGAGATATATTCTGAATCACCTATTCCCTTCCATATCAAACTGCCATATAGTCATATCTTCAACCCAACCCTCGGTTAGTAAACTCACCTGCTTTGCAAAGCTGAACACCTGGTGCAAAGAACAATATGTCATCTTCTTCTTGCTCAGGTATCACACTGACATCTTTTGAGGTTTCCCCAAACTGTAAAAAAGAGACAATTGTGACATGCAGCATTTCTCACCTACATCTGCATATAATAAATATTACAATTTATACGTCTTTTTCTGAGCATCTCTTTTCCATTTCAATTAATACACAAGTCTAAGGTTAACTCAAATATACTGAAAAAAATACAACTGTTAATATTTTTAAAAAATCTCTCCTTTGCTGATTTTTGTTCACACCTGCAGAAGTTTCTTTTATAAATTGGAAAGTACATCTACGTTTTTAACACTGAGTTTATTGCAGTTTATTATTTTTGCCAATATCTATCCTCACAATGAAAGTAATAATAAAATTCTACACTTTACATATTGGTTTGCATTTAATTTTTTTCCCCATTAAAATAAATTAAAATAAATTAAAATTAAATTGATTACTGATCAATGAACTATTTTCTTCAATCACAGTAAATTCATTTACATCCCTAACTTTCACACAGTTTGCTAAGCAACTCAATACCAGCCAGAAATCTTGTATCATGTCAAAGACATGTGCTTTCTCCTCCAGTTGAAAGTACATACAATTACAATCTATTTAAACAAATATCCTATTCAGGGGTGGGATTCAGCCACCCTTATGCTTCTTCTGTCCTGTATGGGCGAACAGGATGCTAATTTTACATCTGGTTCACTGAACCAGTAGTTGGAAGGATTGACTGGCCCCCACCCCATCCCTCGCAGGAATCTCCATGCAGCCCGTTCATCATGCCACGTAAGTCCAGGGCCCACGAAGAGGCTCTGGGAGGCAGAAAAACAGGCCTCCTGGAAGTTCCAGAAGTCAGGAAATGGGTCTGTTTCCAGCCTCCGGAGCCCGTTTTCACCGTCCCGGAAGCTTGAGGAAAGCCTCCGGAGCCTCGGAAGGACTAACACACACACACTATCGTGGTGCAGCAGGCCGAGTAGGCCATGCGCTCCATTGCCATGCCCACCCAGCAACCGGGCAGAGAATTGGTTAAATTTTTTCAATCCACCCTTGAACCTGTTACCAAGGAGAGAAGGATTTAAAATAAAAACATTAAGTAAAATATACCAATTTAGTAGTGCTATATTCTTTCTCCATTCTTTCTGTCAAATTTTGTAAGTATGATAGTTGTCTATCCATTTCTTGTAGTTTTCCAGAAAAATGCTCTCTGCTGATCTTTTGCCCCGCGTAAATACTGGAAAAATCTTCATGAAGGAGACTTGACGTAAGAGGATCGCCAGCATTTTCCTCCTCTGTTACACTTGGTGGTAGTAGAGATAATTCCATTTCGGGACTCTTGTCTTTCGATCAAAGACAAAAAAAGCACAAAATATTTCCAAATGCAGACGACTACAGGTAGTTTTCAACATACAACAGTTCGGTTAGTGACCATTCAAAGTTACAAAAGCGCTGAAAAAGTGACATCTGACCTTTTTCAGTTACAACTTTTGCAGCATCCCCATGATCATGTGATCAAAATTCAGAGGATTGGCATCTGATTCATCTTTGTGACTGTTGCTCTGTGACCTTCTGACAAGCAAAGTCAATGGGGAAGCCATATTTACTTAACAACCAGGTTACTAATTAATCAACTGCAGTGATTCACTTAACAACTGTGTCAAGAAAGGTTGTAAAAGGGGGCAAAACTCACTTAACAACAGAATTTTTGAGCTCAATTGTGGTCATAAGTTGAGGACTACCTGCAAAGGGTTTAATTGAAAGTCACAATAAAGTTTTATTTATCTACAAAATTTCAAAGCGTACTCACAAAGTGCCACCAAGCTCTCAGTCTAGAGAGATACAGATAAGTACATTTTAAAAGCAAATTATTACGAAACAAAAATTGTAGATGTTTACCTTGTCTCTCAAATTCATCCAGTGGTAATACACTGGCAAAAGAGACTGCTGGATAATACAGCTTTGTAGAAGCTGGGAATTCAGACTTCACAGGTTGCGTGACAATAGGCTGTGCAGTGGGCGCAGATTTAACTGGCAAATTCTTGAGAAGATCACCAGACTCTATATCGGTCACACTGATATATCTCTGTTCAGCCTACACCATATATTAAAACAAATCAACAAACCAAACTGTAAGTAGCAAACATCTTAAACTATGAAATATTTATAAAACTTTGTTGAAGAACTGAACCTCTCCCCTCCTGTAACTGACAAATTTATTGAATAGTTTAGACCAGGGGTGTCAAACTCGATTTCATTGAGGGCCGCATAAGGGTCGGGTTTGACCTCACAGGACCAGGGTTGGGCATTGGCTAGGGTGGGCATGGCCAGCTCGATATCACTTGTGTCGAGGGTGCCTATGGTGACCCAAGCATTCTGCCAGGGAAAACGGGCTCCCAATCTCCGTTTTCGGTTGGGACGGCCTCCTGCAAACCTCTGCCATGAAAATGGAGTTTGGGAGCCCTTTTTTGGTGACAGAGGCACTGTGGGCCAGTCCTTTGCTATTTCCAGGGNTTACTAATTAACACAACTGTGGCAAGAAAGGTCGTAAAATGGGACAAAATTCATTTAACAACTGTCTTACTTAGCAAACAGAAATTTTTAGCTCAACAATGGTCATAAGTCAAGGACTACCTGTAATCTGTAGGAAAGAGACATTCTTTTGATTTTGTCTGTTCTACTTTCATATAATGAAGAAGTTCAGAGACAAGAGGACCAAAAATGTCAAATACTTTAGTAACAACGAAAGTTGCTGGGGAAAATCTGTAGAAAAGTTTGGGTCCATCTTCATCAGGTTTGCATCAGTGATGTACATTCTCTTAAAATGTAGAAACATGCCAAACAATATGGAATTTGGAATTCCCAAAAGATTCAAGTCTATAGAAGAGTAAATTTACCCACAGAATGAATACAACATAATTGTTTTATAGTGTTCCCAACACAAAGTTTCTCTTTCAACTGGGTTTTAATAGTTCTACTCAAAATGTTCCCAAAATTTTCTTTCATCTTATCCCTGGGGCACATAATTCAAATGCCTTATCCTAGAATTATTTCATTCATAAAATTTGATAGACCAGTGAAAGATATAGGGTGAGATGTAGACAATTTACACTTAATAGCTCAATTGCCACATACAGTGGATTAAAAGTCTAGAAAGTTCCCGAAAAATAACATACTTATCTTTCTCCTTTTTCTTTTTCTGTTGTAATTTAATCTCTCGTGTTGACAGTCCAAGGGGCTATACAAAAAATGCAAACAGATATGTATTTTGAGTATTTGAGTATTTTATTAAATTTATAGTGATAACTGATATAGTATATCAGTTATCTGGTCTGTAACATTAACTATTCTAATTGAGAACTGAGAGAGTTTAATATTATTTAATATTTACTGATGAAATGCTTACTGTTTATTACATACATTGCTAGATTTTACTCTGTAACAATTAACATTTGAAACAAGTAAGAGTACTAGGTCTGAGTAATTTTACAGGGAAATAATTCTTTAAATTTCTCTATTTTTTAAATCCCTTTTTTCAGCCTTCTGAGTCCCTTTTCCTTTGGTGCATACCCTTAACATTAATATTAAGATGTGTTTACAGAGAGATTTGAATGTTTTAGAATTATAATACTGGGTTAGTAATCCTAGCTTTTAGTCATTGTATATCTCTTATAAGAGAAGGTGTTATTATTAAACGGATGTAATTTTTCTTGATTGTACTTTATGTTAGACGATGACTGAAATAAATATTTGACTCCTAAAGAAAAGCTCACTTTTCAAGCTCACATCAAGATTATTTTTAACCATCAAGATTATTTTTTTAAAGTTTCCCTTGTCCTTAGAGATGACAATTTCTAGCTGTTTGATGTTATTTTTTCATGCAGAAGAATTTTCCATCATGGTCTTGCAGAGATTTTAAAACTTCATAAAGATTTTAGCAGTCTAAAGTCTCCTGGCAGAACCTGTTCTTCCTGGACAATGGCCATTCCCTCTGAATCATGCTGTCAAAGATTGAGACCTAGAGAAATGTTGAATTACTCTCACTTAGGCTTCTAAGGACAAGGTTCCAGAGACGCGTGGCTCAGTGGCTAAGACATTGAGCTTGTTGAATCCTTAGTGCCACTTAACGGAATGAGCTCCCGTTACTGTCCCAGCTTCTGCCAACCTAGTAGTTCGAAAGCTTGTAAAAATGCAATTTTTTAAAGGAACTTACAGTGGGTAAATTCATGTTCTAGAATTGTTACTATTATTCATCTTCATGTTTCTTTTCACATTTGATTTGATAATCGATATGTCATCTTTTTGAAGAGGTGGCCATCCAGATTTAAAAATGCAATTTTAGAACAGAGAGATTCATATTGATAAATTTTCTCCTTTTAATCTACTTTTAACAATTCAACGCAAATAGCCTTACCATCTTTCTCAAATGGAATGGATTGTGCTCTTTTGCCCGTTTTTCAGACAGAGTTTGCATATATTCAGCAAGCCTCTCTTTTCGTTTTCTTTTCATCCAAGCATGTAACTCTTTTTTATCCTTCTCAGCTTTATAAGTCTGTTTATGTGGTTTATTTGAAAGACTGAAATAACAAAGTCAGAGTCGATGACATTATTGTCTTACATCATGATTCTTAACTAAGATAGGAATAGAGCATATTTTTGCTACCAAATAT